AAACTTAATTGTTTAAAACATAGCTAATTTTTTTCACTCACTTTCTTCACTGGATCACTGGATAAATTGTACAAGAAGTTTTGCGACCTTCAAGTGGAAATACTTTACATTTTTGGAGTATATAAAATACTTTTGTTGAAAAAAACAAACTCTTCGAGATATTTCATTAAAAACAAACTCGGAAAGAATAATGAGACATTGGGACAAGTGGAACTCTATAGTGTGTAAAACAATGAAAATCTAAAGACAGGTAAAGAACATGCATATAACGCATAGATTTTTATCAATATCTGGGATGAATCATTGCATACCAGATTAGATGTTTTGCAGGATTCTTGCCGAGAAGAAAAGTCCACATTGCTGAGAATATCAAGCTGTTTTCTAGCAGGTACATCGGACTCTTCTAAACGTATATTATTTTTTCGCATCAAGGAAGAGCTTGCGGTTGGATGTTGATCAAGTTTCTCATCAGCTTCTATGTTAGGCATTGCACCGGTTAACCATCTCTCTTCAAGGACTTTATTCCTGTTTGCGTGCAAATACTTAAAATTATGTATCCCAATATAATATTAATACGTATAAATGCAAATAATATTAATATAGGTAATATCTGCATAAGTTTCATATTATTATAATAAAACCTGTAAAATAAATTATTTTCATTCAATAGTTCTTAAATACATAATCTGATTGAAGGAAAGGAACGGAATGCAGTTTTGGTTGAGCAAGCAAATCGCAAGGAATACACAACTGAAAGACTTGTATAAATGATCTAAAATGGAAGTTTGTCACTTATTAAGTTAACGAAATAAAAGGTAAAGAAATATCAGATATGTCGACAGTTAGTATTCTGCCGCTGTGTTAAATCCGTGTTTCGTCTCAGAAGATACGTGCACTTGAAAAGACGCCTGAAAGATGACACTGAAGTTGATGCCCACAGATATTGTCAAAGAAATGCTTCGTTTTAGGCCTATGAACTGCTGGTTGTTTCTTCCGTCGTATCGCAGCTATAATACACCTAGCGTTCAATGTGCAAAGGATTTAGCTGGAAAAAGATGAGCTGGAAAACATTGGAGTAAAGAAAAGAAATATGAATCATGCTAGGGGATCTAGATGGATCTAGATGGATGTCAGCACACTTGGATTGATGCTTCCGGATGCATGTGGTGGCGACCTTACAAAGAAGGACTGTCGAAATTAGAAGGCATGGGCAGGGAGCTTTGAACGCTTCAATAATTATAATGTCTAGACGATTTGGTCGAATGCAGCTTGTAGTCAAGCCGCCCTAATGAACATTTTCATCGATGCAAAGGTCATAGATATCAATGATTGTAATTGTGTCGGGACTGAGTGTCATTCACGACTCATTGGAACACAGTATTACACAGTGATTAGTTTCGCGTATGTCTCATTAATAAACGCCGCTGAATTAGAGTATGGAAGATACATGGAGGCAGGCCAAACACTAGTCGAAAACACTTCATAATGATTTAGGGTTCTATCATAATGGATAGCTGGTCTTTCTGGTTCATATCAAAGGTACAATAAATACGTAGGTGAAGTGTTGAACTACTCTAATTTGAGCGATTGCAAAATGCTGTTTGCCAGAAAGATAATGCCCGATAGGACACGGCAATTAATACAAGACAAGCCCGGCAAAGCTCCTAGATACTTGGCCACCGAGGTCTCCAGATACCATACGAGAATTTATGGGACGTGACTGGCCATGATTTGCTTGTTTTTTTCTGGCTTCAATAGAAAGACGAATTACGGAGGATGGTTGAAAACATGTGGTCATCTATCCCTCAGGATACTATTCGTACACTAATTTCGTTTATGTCTCGAACGTTTTCTTCTTATATCATTGCAAGAGGTGGTCATCTTTCCTACTAATCGTCCTGTATATTTAATCAGAATACTGCACTATCTTTCTAAAACTGAAACTACACACTTATATATGTATTTTCTACCTGTATACGAATTTTGCTCTCATTTTACTCACTATTTCATAGTGTTGTACTTTCTTTGTCAGACAGTGTACGTGTATATGTGTTTGAAAAAATCAGCTTTTGTGTCTTGATTTTGTAACCATTGCTATTATTTCTTAAAAGATTTAAAACCTAAGTCTTTTTTATATGCATGATAAGTAATATAAATATTAATTATGAATAGCATTATTTAGTTTCTTCATATTTGGTGCATATTTAACAGTGCAGTCTTCTTAGCTCAACATGCGTTGCATATATTAAATTTTACTTCTCCAGTTATCATAACATTTTTATGCATAGATATACCATATTTTATGCATACTTTATATTAAATGTAAGCCCGGTGGCGCAGTGGCTAGTGCGTTGCGCAGCAGCACCACAGGTCCGGGCTTCGATCCCCGGGCTGGGCAAGGTTGACTCAGCTTTTCATCCCTTGGGTGGGTTGATAAAATGAGTACCAAGTTCGCTTGGAAACTAAACACCGGTGGTCTTGCGACAAACTGATCACTTGTCCAGGACATATGCTCATGCACCCCGGGGCCCACGGTCAAGAAAGCAGATATAAGGGCACTGTAGGCCTTGGCCCACTAGGGCTGTTACGCCACTGAGTTTAGTTTTAGTTTATATTAAATATATTATTTATTCTTGATTTCTAATTAGTTTTTGGAAATTTCCAGCCTGCTTTCATTCATCTTACTTTGAAGTCCTTCACAATGGCATCCCTGCTCTCAAGTAGACAGCCTTCGCGTGCTGTATGAGAGGGTTGCAGCTTTGGCTAATGTTATGTAGGAAAAAAAAGGTAAAAAGTACTTTTACATTAAATTTTTAAACTGACTTTTTAACTAACTTTCTCTCGTGCCGCGACTAAAAAAAAAAAAAAAAAAAAAAAAAAAAAAAAAAACACTTTAATAAGCAAAACTTCTTCTCTTAACTCTTTAAATCAATAACCTCCCTGGTTGTTATGCTCACTTCTTTGTGGAACGGGCTGGAAATCAAAATTCTACACAATTAATATCATAAATATTTACTTTTGCTTCAACGTACAAACTGAAAACGCAACACACTTAAATGTCTTTAGAACACGATTACAATAAAAATAATCGCGTGTTGCCACATCTCTGAAACACAGTCACAGAAAACTTCATTCATTTAAAAGTAGAAATAAATTACTTTTAGCTTTTTACGAATAGCAGGAGTGCGCTCTGCGCTCTTTCGGCCAGCAATGGATGGCGTAACACTGGTGTTTTGTAGAAACAAAGATTATTTATCAAAACAAAATACGAAATGCACTTCCGCAACAAATTCATCAATCTGCTATCTCTCTCTAAAATAAAACTAGATCCACTGACTTTTTTAAAACACATAAATTTCAGTACCACTCTAGAGATAGCCCCAAAACACTTTACATTTAAATAAAACACAGAACTCTTCGAAACACCAGGGAAAGATAAATCTCACACTATAGAAGTCTAATCACCAATTCCAAATAAGCCGATCGTATAATCAATCACAAAGCATTCAAAATTGATTTTCCTACAGCCGCATTAAGATTATCCAGTTTAGAAGTGAAATAACCGTGTTTTCAGAAAGGATCACATGGGTGACCTACAATAGACCACAAATAAAACTCAAAATAAAACATACAATTAATAATCAATAAAAGAAATTTATTTGATATTCCAAAAGATTTATAATTTAGATAGCTGGCCAGACTAATCCTACAAAACATTTTGTAAAAGTTACTCATAATTTCTCATTTCAATCTCATTTTAACATTATTCAAATCATACTAAAATCATATTGAAACACCTCAGTTATTAATCTTTTAAACAGGTACTCAAGAATTTAAGCTCATGTATAAAGCTAATTTAGAATAACTCATTATTCCTCATTTTGTTCGCTTATCTCTCATTAGGAATATGAATACTACAATCATTAATTAATAATTCACATCTCGAATAAGGAAAAATTTATCTTCTGATATTTAGTTAATATTAAATTCCGTGATATACTACTGAAATTACAATTACTTCAGTAAAAAATTTCTTTTCAGAAATATTTATTTTCCCTCTAATTAATTTCAATTATATCTCATGACAATTAAACATTAAAAAACTTAAAAATCGCTTTCTCAACTATTAATTTATTAAAAGCACATATTCAAATTTTTATCTACATAAAAATGGCAGCTCAAGCTTAGAATTAAATATTCCAAAATCCTAAGGAAAAAGCGAAAAGAAAAAAAAAAAAAAAAAACTCACAGCTTTTGAAACACATACGTCCATAAAAGAATCTCGCCCACTCAGCACGGAGGTTTTCCAAAACCACATAAAAGTGGTCCTCGAACTGATATGCCTTGACCGTTCATTAAAAACTTTGAGACGAATAAGGTAAAACCGTAGGAGAAATAGTCGTTCTTTCCTTTTCTTCAGTGGCATCCTAGAGGATCAAGCAACGCCTTCAAGAAATATGAAGATCGTCCTTACGATGTTCACAGCCTTTGAAAATGTCCGTGCTGACGATGTTGATAAAGGCAGGCAAACAGTCAAGTGGAGATGAAGACAGTCCATAATCTCAGCACTAATCTGCATCTTTAGCGCGAACCTTCGGAATTATAACTGGAAAAGAAGCCACTCCCTTTTCCGTATTTTCGTCAGTAAATCTGTATCTCTTTCAACAAGAAAAAAATTCCACAGTGTCGAAACCGAAAACAATATGCAGCAACCCCGGAAAAAAAATTTCGCTGCCGTCTATCCCGATGAGAGCCCACACGAGCTCGGACAGGTCCCCGCAGCCAGAACCAAGGGGACGTGGTAATATCTTTTAACTGCAAACCACGGTCGACTCCCCGAAGGGTTGCCGTGTCTCTTCTCCGCTCCCTCTCAAAAGAGTTGGTCAAGTCTAACTAAAAAAAAAAAAAAAAAAAATCTTACAAAATTCTCTGCTATCCCCTCCTGCCTCTCGTACAACGGCTTAAGAAACCTCGGTTGACGCAGAAAAGGTAACGCCTCTAAATTGACCATTGGCTCAAACAATTAGAAAATTAAAATTAACCAAACTTAAACAACTTGAAGTTGCTCTAGCCAACTAGAACAGAGGCAATAAATAGCCTCCAGAATTCGAAGAAATTTAGACTCCTCTTACAAGATGGCATATCCTTTCGTGTGCAAACCAGAAAAATATTTTTCAACCCATAACTCTTTCAAATATCGTCTCCCTTTAGAACTATTTTCCTCCGAACGAGAAAAACATGTGTGTTACACCCCCCCCCCGAAGAAGAAGAAGTTGCAGCTGGCCGCAAAGTGATCGCTCCTTGAGAAACGGAAGTAAAGACCCGCCTTTAGCTGTATCAAGCTCTTCAGCTAAACTTAAAAGAGCTTTGCCGTAATCGAACGAAAAAGTTTAAACAATACTAAATTTTAAACATTAATTCTTAAATAAGAACATTACAAATTCCTTATTTACAGTTAAATAATACGTAATAATTGTACACAACAAAAATAATACATAACAATTTCATATCACTAACTTATAAATGTTCGACATATCTGCATTCCAGTTGAAAATATTGCAGTAGAAGCAGTGAAAGTAAAATTTCTTTACATATTTTTATTTTAGAAAGGTTTCTTGGAATAATCACCTGAAGATATATATATTATTCAAAAATAAATACTTACAGAATGGAAATGATAATTGGCTTCAGATTATGCATACCAAAAGCTATGTAATCCATTAATATTTTCATCAACAGAAAAACTGCTAATGCCTCCATGGCTGTTACAATGGATCGAACTTTAGACTTGATACGACTTGTGCAAATATAAACGATATATATGGAGACTACCTAGTGATTGTTAAAAGAGCATATTTGGATATAGAAGTTTACAAAGAAAATATTTTGTCTTAATTAAAGAACAAAAGAAACCGATGAATTAAAAAAATTAAGAAATTGTGCAAATATTAAATACATTAATTAAAAGAATATACACTACTTATCAGTCACTGGCTAACTCAGTACTTCAGTTCACCTTTATTTTTTTTGGAAGTATAGAATTTATATTATTGCCTTATCCTAGCTATTGGTCAGTTGCAAATGAAATGGTCGATTTTAAAAATCATTGAAAAGATGAAAATTTAAAGAGAATTTAAAGAGAAATTTAAAGAGGAAGAATAGCTGTTTAATCAAAATAATCTTCAGCATCATCAATGCATTTTGCCAACGTGTGGCAAGATCATTTACATTATATTTGTGAAAATCAGTGTCCAGATAAATTGATGCTTGGCTGAGAATACATTTCTTGAATAAAAAAATGGCTCAAGTGCCCCCCAAAATTGTAGTTTGCTTAGAAAAATATTAGAAGAATGCATAAGATGAAGCACAATTTCGTATCTAATGCTGTGGATTTGCTACATGGCTGGCTCTGCTGTATGTGGTCATTAATTCATGTTATTTTAGGATCCCATGTCTATTCAGAAGTATTAGTTCCTTAGGGCACAATTTGGTTTTGTCTGCGCAATATCAAGTTGCATTTATGGTTTCTTCTCGCGAAAAAAATGAGTACTGAATAACACCATGAGAAGACTATTATACGGTAAACATGCAGTGACGATTGCATTATACTCTTATTTGGCTGCAAAAGTGCTCCTGGATTCCTTCCTAGAACGTCTACTCCCAAACCCTGAGACAAAGCGTACAGATGATAAAAACTATCTGTCCACTTTTCATCCATAATCACAGTTCGTTGCAGAGCCTATTTTTTGCTTCTTAGAAAGAAGAGCACAATTCTAAACGCCGTGCTTTGTTTCCATCAGTGAAGCACTCAGTTGTAGAGCATTTTTAAAGTTATTTATTTTATTGTTAATACCAAGTGCCCTAAAACAATTGGAAAGAGTGTAAGGATCCTAAGTTTTACTAAAGTTTATTTTATTTTAAATATTTATCACTTCTTATTTTCTACTTCCGGTCAGAATTAAAAGCTTTAACTTATTTATGCAAATTTGTCTTGCTAACGCCAAGTACTTAAGTTGTGGCTTTTTGCCAAGAGAGAGAGAGAGAGGAAGGAGTTATTGGAAGTAAGCGGCTTGCCATTTTAGTGTTACGAGTTTTCACTCGGTTGCTGGTTGCCTTCAAGGCCAGAGGTTTAGGCCTCTTGATAATTTCAAACGTATCGTAGTTTTAGAAGCTCTCTGTGCTACATACGGACTTTGTTAAATAACGGCCAATCTTATAATGCTAGGCACTTGTATACTAATACAAAGTTAGTTTTAATTAGAGTTTTAGTTAGTAGTTTTTATATTCTTACGTTCAGACCACAAGTGGTTGGTCTCTGTATTCCGAAGTTCCGGAAATACCTGTAAAGATAGAAAAATAAAGGGTTTCGTATACCCTTCCTGCTTGTATTGTCTACTTCACAATTTCTTGAACATAGCTTGAGTAAGCTGTCTGTTCTGTGTCAGGACAATTCATGTTTCCAAAGCAAGTCAAGAGGAATACAAGTCCTGATAAGAGCACATTTAATGTCTGTCTGAATTTATCGTGGATCTAATTCAATTAAATCCTTCAACTCACTGGAATCAATGGAGAAAGGACTATGGTAAGGAGTTCCCCCTTATAGTCATAAATATCTTGAGAGAAATTTTGCAAATCTATGGAGAGTTTCTCCACCAAATGCTTCACTGATGTTATTATTACTTCAGCAACGCAGAATTTCTCAATTTAAGCTCGTAAAGGTATAGAAACATTTATTGATTTGTTTCCATGTTTGACGATGGGTCGGCACTATTCATTATATAATGCTCATAGAAATTAGCAAATACTACAGGTACACTACGCAGGTATGAAATTATTACCTGACATAAAAATATGCAAAAATTTTAGTGCTTTCTTTCTTTTCGAGCAGTGGACTCCTAATGTCATGAAACGACATTTCATTTACAACAACCCAATAATTTTGCACTTACGTCTAAATTAAACATATTTCGTAATTAGCGCTTGTAATTGGAGCAGCTATACAATACACTTTTTTATGTGTTGATTAATCAATTTGTAATTTAATGAGAAAAGAGTGGAAATAAGCATAATAATAGTCCTTAAAATCTTTAGAAAAGGATTTCAAAAAGTTTAAAAAATAATTTTAAAACGCCAAAAATGTATTTCATATGTATGTTAGTTGGACACAGAAGAGAAGCGACACCATGTGAAAAGTATAACTGGGGATATTACCTTTTATGTAAGTACTCCAAAGCAGATTTATTAACAAATAAATAATGATTCAAATGTATTAAAATGTTTGGTATTCTTTTGTTAACGAGATTCGATTCAGAAATGTATGTATGTATGCATGTATGGATAGATGGATGTGGCCATGCATACACTCAAACATACATAGGTACGAATGCTTGAATATACACTTCCAATACATGATTATTTCCATCCATACATGCGAGCATACCTATATACATTTCTGAATTCGTTTCCGATAACAGAAGAGTACTAAATTTTCAGTCGTCGTTTTTGTTTATTTCATTGAAACTGTTGAATAATGCTTATTAAATGTTCATTTCAAAGTAATTCTGAAAATGATTAGAAATTATGAATTTTTGTGACATCATTATGTATTTTATGAGAATGCTCACTTTTATTACGTTGGATGAACAATGAAATATATAATATTATTTTGCAGAAACCTTTTTAAATAATAAATCGAATATGACTTATGAATTGCTTATTACTGCGAAAGGGTTTAAATGGGTACATTTTCCAAAAGCCAGTTTGACTTTTATCTTATGGAAAATGTTCAGAAGGAAAACGGTGGCAAGAAGACATTGCAAGCCACCTCAGAAAGTATATTATTGCCGCAAGGAAGAATGTCTTAATGATCAGATAAATTTCTCATCTTTTTGCCTCTGACCTTATTAGAGACATCGTTGCCTTAATATGATAACGGTCTTTTTTCTTCAAAGAGGGAAGTGATTAGATTGAAAGAACTGTTATTGATATTCTTTTTGACGTTGTATAATCCTATTTATATGTATGTACATCAGCCCCAGCGCAGGTCCATGAACACACACAGTGTGCGAACTGTGGGGAATCTCATACTGCCAGTTTTAGCGGGCGTGAGAAGTTCCCCAAAAAGAAAGTCTAACAGCCCAAGCTCTATCCCGACAGAGTGGTAGGAAACAAAAGTTACTCCCAAGCCCTGGCTTCTGGATTATACTCTGACATCCTCGCTGAGGCCAAAAAGTCTTTGCCGACTTGGTAGAGCTTGTTGCAGTAATAAAAAACGCCGGTTTCCAAATCAAACAGCAAATGAAACAAATAAACTCTAGTCAGGATAACAATAACCCAGTCAATTCATATAATGGGCAAACACAATCTAACTAGATCCCCTGTCTTATTAACAGTTTGGAACGCAAGCAGCGTTCTAGGTAAGCTACAGGAACTCAATAATTTTCTGAGCACATATGAGATAGATATTGCTGATCTGTGAACTTATGCTAATCCCTGCAACAACATTAATATATCTAACTATAGGTGTTACAGATGTGATAGGTTAAGCTACCGTGGTGGGGGAGCTACTATCTACGTTAAAAATGCACTTCAGTCTTGTTTTATTAGCGATGATCGCAGAAACGGTCATGAGCTGGTCACCGTATCGGTTCTTCTGCGAGTTTATGGTATTATATACTTCTCCTGCATGTATAATGCTCCTGACAAGGTTCTGTACCCAAGTATTCTTGCTAAAAGACTACGACCCAAGTATTCTTGCTAAGATTATTAATAAGACCCAAGTATTCTTGCTCTTCTAGAGACAAGCCCATTATTTTAGCGGGCGACCTCAAAGCAAAACACTGAGAAATGAATTGCAGACGCACCAATAGAAACGGTGAAAATTCCTGAAATTGCTGGACTTTGCTATAAATCATTCCGTGTATTTTTGCGCTCCGTCTGAGTATACTTATCTTCCCAGCACTCCTAATGGAGGTGATACACTTGACGTCACTATCGACTTCGACTACCTCTATCCCTATGTGCCTTTAAGTCAGACAGGACTAGTCGTTGGAACATGTTCCCATAATTGTCACATTAGGCACTACCAAATTTGTGAAATCGAAACAGAAAAACATCACTGATTGGTCTCTTTTTAATACCCTACTTACCCAGAACACTGCTAACAAGGTTAGTCTCAAGTCTGTTCGAGATATTCATTCTGAAATCAACACTCTTACCATCAATGATGCCTATGAAAATGCCACTCGTAAGGTCCCGGCCGAGCGCTACACTGGGAAGCTCCCTGGCTAAATCAGAGATAAGCTCAAAGAAAGAAAGAAATTGAGAAAGAGATGGAACCTTACATGGGATCCTCAGCTCAAAAAGACTCTTAATAAATTTAACAGAGACATTAAAAAATGCATTTCTCAGCACAAGAAAGATGTGTGGGATGAAAAACTCCTTAGCTATAACGAGCTGAATAGCGACCTCTGGACCTTTGCCCTTAGACTTAAACATAAGTCTACTGTAAATAATCCAATTTACACGGAGCATAAAATTGCTCTAAATAACGCTGAAAAGGCTGATATCCTTGCAGACCATTTCAAGAAGCAGTTCTCGCCCAATGATAGCCCTTATGACTTTAACTTTGTCCGAAGTTACCCATTTCGTTACTGACTGGCTAAATGCTCCCACTATCCGGAACTGCCCTGAATTCTCCAAAAGAGTTCACAGATATCATCAAGAAACTCAAGACGCGGAAAGCCTCGGGCACGATCAGATCACTAATCCTGCCATCAAATACCTGCTCTTGAATATTATCACGAGATTCACAAGCATTTTAAATGCTTGCCTGAAGCATTCTTACTCTCGGCAATTTTGGAAACAGGCTAAAATCATCTTAACACATTAAAGGCGGGGGATCTTGACGAAAGTATGCTAGGTAACGCGGTGACCGCCCCGCCTCGTTTTTCGTCCTAGAGCGGGCGATATTTTGTGTAATCATAAAAAAATTTAGACTTAAAAAAGTTTATTTAAACTCTTAAAACTGCAAGAAATATTAAAAAAAGAACTAAACACTAATTACAAAAAATGTTTTAAAGTACATATTTATGAGAAGAATCTAGTATTTTTTATGAGTGTGGTAATGTTGATAACACTCGCCACGGTGAAGAGGTGCATTGCAAAACTCGCATTTGAAGCAAGTTAACTTTCTTTTTTTATGTGCCGCACAAACTACGCAGTTTCGTTGGGCATATAGCTTTTTGCCTTTATTTTCTATCCGAATTAATTTGTGCTTTTTGATGTCTAGCGAAAGACGTCCAGGCGGATCAATTTTACATCGTGGAGTCCGTGGTGCCGAATTCGATGTACCAGGTTGTGGCTCTTCAATGTCCATCAAATCGTCTGCAATATATATCTTTATTTTCACGTGAAACCATATTGAAAGATTTCAAAATTTACTGTAAGTAGAATTTTGAACAACCAAACAGCTTCAAACCACAAAACATACTAAATACAAATGTAAAGTGGCGCATGGATTGCGCAACCACATTGTGCAATCCATACGCTAGCTACAGTCGAGATAAATCGTATTACTACGACTCCCGCCTTTAAGCTACAGTCGAGATAAATCGTAGTACTACGACGCCCGCCTTTAAGGCTACAATCGAGATAAATCGTATTACTACGACTCCCGCCTTTAATGTGTTAATTCCTAAGCCAGGTAAAGATACCACGAAACCAGAGGGGTACAGACCTATAAGTCTTCTCCCCGGCTTAGGCAAGATTTTTGAGCAAATTATACTGTACAAATTGCATCCTTATCTTGACAAACTCCCTATCGAACAATTCGGATTTAGACGAGGACTTTCCGCCATAAAATTGTCAGACTTTAGGAGTTCGCCAGAAGGGAGATTCATAACAAGCAATGTGTTGTCCTTCTCATGCTGGACGTCGTGAAAGCTTTCGACCGCGTCTAGCAAGAGGGGCTTATTTACAAACTGATCTCCTTTGACTTTAGTAGAGAAAGCATTGAAATTATCTACTTCATCAAAAACAGGAAATTCTATGTCTCCGCTGGTAAAGATTTTTCAAGTCACAGAAATATTAATGCAGGTGTGCCCCATGCTCAAATTTGGGACCTATAATTTATCTTTTTTATGTAGCCGATCTTCCCATAGATCACTTAAATTACAATTATTTTCTTGGCTGCTACGCGGATGACATCGCGTTAGCAGCAAAGTCCATGAATGCTGAAAGGGCCATTCAAAACTTACAAATCTTGATGCCGCAACTTGAAAGCTGGTGCGTTAAATGGCGTATGGAAATAAATGCCCAGAAGTCCCAACTTTTTTTAATTAGAAGAACTCTCAGGACTCTAGGCTTTGCGACTCTTGGTCGCTCTCTCTTGCACACCTTTGTTCTCTTACAAATATGCTGTCATGACGAGTACTCGTCTTACGCCTTTTTGGCACTATTTCATTGAGCGGGATAAACGCGCTCTGCACGATATCTCGATTATACTGGACAGATTAGATTAGATTAGGTCCATGAACTTTATCGTGGACAAGAGGGTAGGATTGCACCTGTCTTCAGCTTAGGCATTGGGCAGCTTATATGTAAAAATATGAGTTTGTCCAGTTGTACCAATTTTGACAGAGAAATCAAGAACAGGATGGATCTAAGAGTTATTACTCCTCTTCCCCAACTGTCAATCTCTCTAGTGGATTTTCGATTTGAACAGTATTTTAAGTGCCGTCATGACTATTTACTTATAAATATCAATGCGTTCTCCAGGATTTGAACCTGGGTCTAAGGCTATAACAGCCAATTCATCTACCGCCATGCCAACAAGCCAAATGTTTTGTGTTTAATTTTTATAATGAGTATGAATTTTTGTAAATTTAATTATGGGCACCGGGCGACAGTATAAAAGTTAGAAAGTGTGCAAATGCTCTTATTAACATTATAACAGATTGCGGTATTAGTAGATAATTTTAGTAGATAATTTTTTTTTCTTTAGTTAAATAAATAATCTAAACAAGATTTGATTTCATGTTACAAATATTCATGAAAAACTGGAATAAGCAAACTCCATCTAAATTTATGAAAACTGTAAAATTTTTTACATGCATTTTATGAGACATTTTTTAACGATTATTCCCCCTTTTTTGATGGTCTTATAACGCTATCAGCCGCCGCACAATCATGCCAATTATTCATAAAAAAAAGATCTACCAGGTCGTTGCTACAAAAACTTTGATTTGTGCGGTCGGCAGAGAATTGACAATAAATTTCTGGAATGCCCTGCGATCAACATATCTGCCGATAAAAAGCAATCGCAATATACGAATACTATTAGCATTCCTGCGAAACTAAAGTGGCATTCATTTCTTTGGTTTTGCATAACTTTTTTTGTATTTCTATAATCACACAGTGATTATAGGGATACCCCCCCCAAAAAAAAAAGCACACGCTATAATAACACACAGGCCTTTCAGAAACCATCACAAATGATCAATTACTGATAAAAGAATTCATGAATATTAATAATTTTCGTTTTACCTAATGTTACTATTTTTTTCTAATGACTTCTTTAACTGACTGTTGCCTCTGTTAACAGAGATCTTCTCGGTTTTAATAGAAGTTCAGTTCTATATGTCTATAGTCAACGATTGCTAAAATAATAACTTTTGCTTTTGCGTATACGGTATATATACATATATATATATATGTGTGTGTGTGTGATGTACTAGCTTTTGTCCGGAATAAATAGATTGGTGAAGAAATATAGATGTAGTCGTAGCTTAAATTATCAGACGATAAGTTTAAAAAAACAGGATCCATTTATTATTGGTCAGGAGAAATAGCAGTTACAAAAATCCTATTTCAGGAGTAAATAAAAAAGAATTACTAATAACTTTTTGTATGAAGTTTACTGCACCGTTACATTAAAGAAAAGACCCCGATATTCCTTTGCGAGTCCTTTTATAGCCTCTGGAAAGGCGGAGCTTCCAAGAAAGGACGTCAGCCATTCCAGTTCGCTTTAAATATCTCGAACATTCTAAAAATGTACGTGTAGAAAAGGCGGGAAAAACAACTTGACTACGGGGCTGTGGATTTAATTCCACGTACTTTTCAATAAGAGACCATAGCCATTAATAAAATGAAAAGAATTTTAAGTGTATTCTTGACTATGGAATTTTATTATTACATATATATATATATATATATATATAGAGAGAGAGAGAGAGAGAGAGATAAACACAGTGCTAAATGTATATATAGGTTTATTAATGCCAAACAGACGACTCTTTTATGTCTCATCCATCACGTTCGGAACAAGTCTGCAGTGCGAAATTTTTAATATAAGAGCAAAAACTGAATTAGGCGAAAGAAAAGACATCTCTCAATGATGTTAATGGTAGAGTAATGCATTTCGATTTCGGCCGTATTTAATGATGGATGGTCAAGGTCGACAACTATCAACTATACATCTGATAACTTCAATAAATTTCAATTAAATTATTCTAAAGTATAGCAGAATTAATATTATATGTATATAAACATAAGAGCTTACTTTATTTAATGACGCTCTGCATTTTGGAATGACTTTGGAATGACTTGAAAACACACTGCATTTGTAGTAAAACTCTACAATAAATTTCTATAATATACTTACATGAATGCTTAATAACTGGAAGAAAGACTTCAATTTGCGCTCACAGTCGATTTCTCCTGTGTAGAATAAGATTTTCCAAGCTACGTAAGCCAAAGCTTCAGCAAGAAGTGCTTTAAAGGTAGATTCCATAAAAGATATAATATTAAGTAAATATAAATTTTGATACTTATTATAAATATTGTATCCGTCGCTCATGAATGAAAAAATAATCGATGATAAATACAGGAAAGGTATGAAATGCTTCGTATCGCTGTAAAGACGCTCCATAATCTGTAACATCAATGAAAAATTTGCAAGATGACGGATGAGCAATAATAATGGATATTTTATGCTGAATGGGGTTTTTTAAAATTAGATTATAATTTAAGAAAACATATTCACTGATGCGTCCGTCACGTTGGATACGATCATATGTTTCACGCGAAGCACTATTTTAATTTACTAAATCATAGCTGTGAAATATAACAAATATTTGACTTAATAACGTTTTAAATAGTTTTCTAAAAGTGATACAAGTTGAATAATTGCAAAAATTATAAATTTTCCTTATACAGTTTTCTCCACCTGCCTTTTTACTTCCTTGTACGAAGTAAAAAGGAAGTACTGTAATCGCGAAAAGTTTCAGGCAGCATATTTCAACGAAAATATCCTTTTTGACCGCTATCGAATGCAATTTAACGATGTTTTTGTGTGATATCTGTACGTAAGCACAGAATAAAATACTCTTTTCCTTCAAAAAAATTATAAAACTGCTTTAAAATTAATTCTGAAGAGAATTTCGTGGCGTCTGTACGAACGTATGTACGTACGTGCGTGCGTGCGTACGTACGTATCTCGCATAACTCAAAAACGAGTAGCCTCAGAACGTTGAAATTTTGTATATAGGACTGCTATAACATGTAGATGTGCACCTCGTATTTTGGTTGCAATCGGCCCCACCAAACGTATATAAATCTATTTATATATATATCCACTCTATTACCCGGCTCAGTGATCTCAGTTTCTTTACTCTTATATGTTTGTAAATTGTGCATTTTTTGCTTTAAAAGTGATTGAATTATGTGGTTTTTATCTTCCGGTTAAGGATTTTATGCCTTTAGTAAATCAGTGTGCAATATTTTTAGAATTATCAGCAATTTTAAAGTTGTTTAATTGCCGCTAAGCCTGTTTTTAATGGCGGCCATTGATGTTTACATTTGAAACAGGAGACTAGTGGATTTGTTGCCAATCTAGAGAAACTTAGCTTCGCAAAAACAAAGATAACGCATTCATTTATTATTGCCAATTAAATTATGCTTAATTCTTTCTGGAATTTTTTCGAGGAAATAAGCGTTTGAGATTTACTTCGTAATTTTTAATATAGATATTTTGAGTTTTTATGTATTTTTGCCTTCTCGCGAAAGAACTGAATTAATTAAATGAGAAATACTCATTTAATTCTGTGAAAAACTGTTTCTTTTTTTGTTTTATTTGCTTAATTTCTTTTAGACATAGTTCTAGTTTTATTATAATATTTGAATAGAACATGTGGCCACGATTAGATAATTCTTTAAATGATATATATTTTGTGCATTCTGAGTTATAATATTGTTGCGTGCGTACGGGTTCGTTATGAAATGAATGCACAAGTCCGATGAAAAATGAACAAAAATTTATTATTATCACAACAAAACTGCTTAAATTTTCTCAAATTATCATGCAGTATTACAATATCTCACAGTAGTTATCTTTTAACTACTCAAATGTCCAATAGAACGTAATTCAAAACAGCTAAAAAACGCTAATCCGCGAATTCGCTACAATCAACAAGAGCAGTTTTCTAAACAACAACAAACTAAGCAACTACTGCAAACTGAGATGTTTTCCTCCTTTTATAAGATTTTAAAATCACGCGCTAGAATTTTCCAGTACTTTCTCGAAATCAAAAAGAGATATTTATTTATTTAATGCACGCGCTCTTGTATTTTCAATTTTCTGACTTAGCTTTCTTTTAATATTTGTAACGCGCTGCACTGCGCGAGAAAATAAAACCATTTAATTTATAATTGAACTAACATTAGCTTTTTAAATACCAAATTCTTTACACTGCCCCCTTCCCAAGGACTGCACGTCCCGAGCAGTACAATCCCTGGACAGGAAGCTAAACTTACAACAGTGGCATAAATGCATTAATAAGCATTACATTACAATAATAAACATGAACAATAAATGCAATAACTAACTTAAACAAATCAAATGCTATCAAATACTAAATACAAAACAAATACTAAATACAAATCAAATACTAAATGCATATCAAATACTAAATACAAATCAAATCAAATACACATTTATAAACAAAAAGGACCATGGTCTGATACTATTTACAATTATTTACATTACGTACTATGGCCATAATAATGAGCTAACCAGTTGTAATATCAGGTTTAGACTTTAGGTTTAGAGTTCGAAGACTTACAAATCCGAACCACGACGTCATTCGTGTTCAGCACTGTATATGGACCATCCGAAGGTGACTGTAATTCAGGCCTGACTCCTTTTCGTCGAATCGGGTTCCACAACCACACCTTGTCTCCTTTGTTGAATCTATGTCCAGTAGCTCTCGCGTTGTATTTGGTCTTCACTTTCTCCGTCGCCAAGTTCACTCGCTTTCGTGCGGAACGGTGCATCACTTCAAAACGGGCCTGGACATCTTGGATGTGTTCCTCAGGCGATGAAGGCGCATCCGTATGGCGATCAAACAGGTGCTCACAAGGCAGACGAAGGTCTCGACCGGAGAGCATCTGTGATGGTGAATACCCGGTAGTCTGGTGTTTCTCTCCGACCCTAGGAGGATTTAGGCAGCTTTCTGAATGACATGAGACGTCGGCGTTTCCAGGCGATGATTCCTTTTGAAGATGGATCGTCATGGCTTCAGATGCTGAGAACAGCTTATTCTTTTTGAAATCTAAGGAAAAATTGTGTTTCCTTAAAAAGTCCAATCCGAGTATGCATGGATCTGTAATATCCGCCACATATGCCGTGTGATTGTAGGCGGCACTTCCAAACGTGATATTCACGTTTAACTTCCCAGCTATCTCGATCTTGTCACCAGACGCAGTCTGAAGGGTAATGCAGGATGGCGTCCAAATAAGTTTATCTTTAAACTGTTCAGCTAAATTTTTCCTAATGATGGTAACATTAGCTCCTATGTCAATGATCATATTCCAAGGAACTCCATTGATATGTCCATTGATGGGCAGTCCGTTACTGTTGCCACTCACCGTAGAAATCTTGAGTGCTTTAAAACAAGGTTTTTCATTATCTGGCAACCTCCGTTCCTTGATATGGTCATTTATTTGTTTCCTGCGTCGTTGCTGAGAAATGGTCTCAATGTTCATACCCTGGGGTGTTCTGCAATTCTTTCGTACGTGGCCTTCAGCTCCACAGTTCCAGCACTTTGGTTTCTTGTCAATCCTTTTCCTTCCCATGGCATTTAATTGTCTGTTTGAATCGTATGCCTTATTTTCCGTGCTCTGGGGTGTTCTGCAGTTCCTTCGTATGTGGCCTTCAACACCGCAGTTCCAGCACTTTAGGGTCGGTTTCTTTTCTCCACTATTCCGTCTCAAGGCATTCACTGGTCTTCTCAACTCATCCGTTTTATTATTCGTGCCCTGGGGTGTTCTGCAATGCCGTCGTAGGTGACCTTCAGAACCACATCTCCAACACCTTCGAGCCACTTTGTTCTCACTGCTACTCCGTATCAAAGCGTCGACTTGTCTGGATAAATCATCTAAACGAGCCATCAGTTGATCCACTGGCTCGTGGACTAGGATAGCTCTGACTGGGTAGCGGTCTGTATGAGTTGCTTGCTGGGCTGCCTCGAATTTCATGGCGTATACTAGAGCGCTTTTTAAATCTTTAACATCCGCCATTCGTAGAGCCTTCTGTATTTCGGGATCACGGATGCCATCGATAAAGTACTGCAGGGACAGGATTTCCCTCGTTTCTCTCGGGCACTCCGTAAAGGCGAGGTGGGACAGCCTTTCAACATCCGTGGCGAGTTCCTGGAGTGATTCTGTGGGCTTCTGTTGACGGGATTTTAATTGAAGCCTGCTGTAGTCTTTTAAACACTTCTCGCCAAAGCGCAGCTCCAATGCGCCGGATAGAGCTTCCAAGTCAAGTCTTTGGTTTTCTGGAAGTGTCTGCAGGATATCCACTGCGTCTGCTCTCGCGGCGAGATGACAGGCCTTAGTTTGGGAATCCCATCCATTCGCATCCGAAACGATAGAAAATTGTGTTTTATACACTTTGCCAGGATGGTCTTCCCATCATATGTGGATAACTAGTTTCAGAGATGGGACGAGCAGGCATCGATAAGAATTTAAAACCCTATCAGAATTGCTTCCCTTCTGTCGCTATGCTCTTCTTTAAAGTATCAACTTCTTTTGCAACAGCAGCAGAAACCCTTTCCTCAATTTGTTGTTGGACGGCAGAAACTCTTTTTTCTTTTAAGAAGAAACTTTTCGTTGCTCTTACCGCAAGAAACTCTTTCTTGAATTTCTCCAACTTTGTCTTCAACTGTGTCCATTCTTCCTTCCATAGCTTGGAACTTGTTTTCTATTATGCAAGTAATTTCTCTCTTCAATTCCTCTTGACCTACTTTAATTTCCTCCTTAATGGATTCCTGGCCCAATTTCATTTCTCCTTTAACGGATTACTGGCCAAACTTAATTTCTTCTTTAACGGACCTAATTTCTTCTTTAACAGAGTCTTTCATTTCTTCTTTAAATGTAGCAAAGGCTACCATGAATTGTTTTAACTGTTCTTCCATCGCTCTTGTGATTGGCATTCAATACCCCACTTCTGACACCAAAAATTGTTGCGTGCGTACGGGTTCGTTATGAAATGAATGCACAAGTCCGATGAAAAATGAACAAAAATTTATTATTATCACAACAAAAATGCTTAAATTTTCTCAAATTATCATGCAGTATTACAATATCTCACAGTAGTTATCTTTTAACTACTCAAATGTCCAATAGAACGTAATTCAAAACAGCTAAAGAACGCTAATCCGCGAATTCGCTACAATCAACAACAGCAGTTTTCTAAACAACAAACTAAGCAACTACTGCAAACTGAGATGTTTTCCTCCTTTTATAAGATTTTAAAATTACGCGCTAGAATTTTCCAGTACTTTCTCGAAATCAAAAAGAGATATTTATTTATTTAATGCACGCGCTCTTGTATTTTCAATTTTCCGACTTAGCTTTCTTTTAATATTTGTCACGCGCTGCACTGCGCGAGAAATAAAACCATTTAATTTATAATTGAACTAACATTAGCTTTTTAAATACCAAATTCGTTACAGTATGAATGAAATATAATACTGTTAAGTAAACTTAGCGCCAGAGTGTCGCTATGGTAAACAAAGTGAATTTTAAAGAATGCATTTATTCTATTGTGGTTTATGCGCTGTCGGCGAAATAGGTTTAATTCAATCTAATAAGTTTAAATAAAATGCAAGAAAAAATGCGTATAATTTAATATTCCGTACAAGGAAGTCATGTGGTGTACACATTATATTTTGTAAAGTGATTAAAACAGTAAATTTTAACAATAATTCTTTTTAGCATCTTTGTTTTGCGTAACTTCTATAATTACGACTGATTTCAGTTTTTAATGAATTTCTAAAAGCAAATAAATTAATTTTAAGATTATTATGTATATTTTGTCATATAAGCCTTATTTATATTTAAGCTACCTGGACTTGTGCTAATAATTCGCTTGGAAATTCTTCAAGATCCTTTAAGTTTAGTCCCCCATTGTGTACTTCTTATGCTACTACCATTAAGCTCATTCCTTGTTCTTTTTCGAAGCTCTTTGAGAAAGATTCGACAGATTTCGTTAAACAGGTAGACATAAAAAGGAATTTGACTACAGCAATTATAAATATGAAGGCTGTTTTTTTTCAGTAAGGTCCGCTTTGCAATATAAACTAAAAACATTTTTTCAAAAAGACATTTATCTTCTGAATCTATATATAATTCTGTATTATTTTACATAACTTCCTTGTTAATGTAAAAATTTATCATAATGAAAAAAAAAAGAGTTTTAGATGCCCTTTTAATATAAATCTTTATCCTCAGATATCCTCAGATAACAGTCAGTTATTCACTGTCGTTTTCATTTCTCCATGTCATTTACTCAAATCTCTTGTTTGCATGAGTATTAGTCTCAACTGTTTGTACGAAATCGTCAGTGATTACAGATGGCCGACCAAAGCACAATACATCATGGAAGTTTTCCCCACTGTCCTTGAAGTATCTCACCTGCTTTTGCCTTTTACTGTCACTCACTGCATTGTCATGGTGCACTTCGTATATCTATTGATAAATATCCGCAGATTTTATGCTTCTTATTATTAGGCTGATCTTAGACGACTGATCGGATTTCACAGCAATTAGGGCGCTCGATATTCTTAAACATTTTAACGTCACACTACGAAGTGCACAGACTTACGCAGTGAATACATGATGAATCAGGTTCTGCTCAAAAAATTCTGGAAGCCTGTGCGCACACTCATTCTCATGCACACACAAAATTTCAAATCGTATCACAAACAGACTTTGCTTTAAAAATACTGTGCTGTACATGATCTACATTCTGCACACAAAAATGAGACAGTTCTTTACTTTATGTTCTTCTGAGCCGATTGTCAAAATTTAACTTGCGTTTCTCATGTTTTGAAAACGCGAAAGAATATATATTAATTTTATGGATATCATTGTAGGTATACACATAGGTATTTTGACACAAAATTGGTCTTTTTTCTGAAGTAACATGTCGATTTTTCCATATTTTGATTCTATAACTTAAATTATGCCTAAATATTAAACTGTGTAAAATTAGGTGAGAAACTTACAAAGAAATATTAAAATTTACCTTAGTGCACTTTTTTTTCAGTTTGAGCCAAGAATATTCGTTTAGAGAAATTCTTGATTTATGGTAGCGAATTTTCCTTTTCCCATTTTATTTTAATGGGGCAAAAAGGTGCATTGTGTAGTATTTAAAATAATTTTCTTCATATGTTTTAATCGTAGTTGTTATTATTAGATCTATAAACCATATTTGGACTTATTATTGATTAGAAAAAGATGCCAAATTTCAAAACTTTCCAATATGTAAATTCTCTTATGCCTTAGGAAAGTTTGAATAAAAAACTCTTAATTTTCTGCAGGTATGCTTAGAAATGTATCCACTTTAAGCTAATGGTAACAATTTTATGCTATAATTCAACATTTTTTTGAAAAATTTATAAAAACTACTAAAAATTGCGAATATTAAGAATAAATCAGAAACCATCTGCGAAATTTATTTGGATTGAAACTAAATTTCAAATTCTGAAAGAAGGAATCGAGTAATTTTAATAAAAAAAAGAGATATACCAAATTCAATTAGCGTTGAGGAGCTAAAATTTTGAGAGTTAACTTATTAAAACTTACTAGTGCTCTTTTTACAAAATTTGGCACCTAAGATTAAGTTAAGCTGGGAATCAAAGTATGGGGAAAAAATCAGCATTTGATTTCAGAAAAAGTTCGATTTTGTTTGAAATACCTATGTTAGAACAATACTATATACAAATCTAGTATATACGCTATTGAGACATAAAAAGCGCTAGATAATTTTGTCAATCGGAATAAAGAAAAGGGACCTCTTTTCTGCGCAGAATGTACCTAAGTGCGCAGAATGTAATACAGATGGAGGACAAAATACAAGTAATACGAACATCTGTGAAATAATGGAAAATCTTTATTAATAGAGGATTCGACCTCTCTTTGACTGAAGTACAGATTGAATGCGATGTGGGATAAATGCATAAAGGTCACTGACAATATTTAAAAGAATATTAAGCCATTCCTCCTGCAGAACGGTCTCTAATTCCGAAAGTCCGCATGGAGGTGGAAATCGGGAACGAAGTTTGGACTTCAAATATGTCCATAATTGTTCAATAATATTCAAGTCCGGAGATTGATGGAGCCAAGCGAGATAGATGTCCAGTTACATCGTCATGCTCTTTGAACCATTCTTGAATAAACCTAGCAGTGTGGATAGGGGCGTTGTCTTCTTGAAAAAACGGTCGCTCCCCAGGGAATACAGTCTGGACAAAAAGATGGACATGATCCCTTAGAATGCTCAGATAGTGATTGGATGTGATCCTTCTATGCAGAATAACAAGTGGCCTAAGACCGCGCCAAGATATCGCACCCCATACCATAACGGCGCCACCCCCATACTTCACAGTCGCCAAGAGGCACTCAGGATGAAACGCTTCTATGGGCGTTCTCTATACATAAACGCGTCCGGTCGTCTGAAATAGGGTGAATGACGATTCATCTGACCATATTACCTGTTGACACTGATGAGGGGCCAGCCTTTGTTGAAACGGGGTCCTGGAGATGAATGTTCATTTCGGATGTTATCTCGGATAACGATTACTTGTGCTTTCGGGATACTATGCGCTTCAAGACCCGTCTATCCCTATCAGCCAGCTTTAACTTTAGGCCACTGTTGTGCTTTGAAGACGTCGTCTTACCATCTTTCGTGTAGGCTGTCATAACGGCTGATACTATACTCCTTGCACACTCACAAGGTTTGCTGTGTCCGTAACCGATGCTTCACTTAAAACGCGCTCCAACTATCATTCCGCTTTGGAACTCTGACAGGACTGACATTTCAACTTCTCACAGACAGTTCGATTGAAGCATGCAACGCAGGTGACTACTGTTGAGAGACTGATACCTTCCTCTTCACGCTCATTAGGTGGTAGACTTCTGTAGGTGTAAAATACGTCATACGTTTTCACAGGTTTCGCATTATTTTGTTCTCCATCTGTATCATGATTGCTGCAGATCGGCATTCCTTATCATCAAGTTCTTCAATTAAAGTAAAAGAAAAAAAAAGTCATCATTCATACTTTTTCATTCATCGTTCATACTGACTTGAAAAAAAATCTGAAAGCTTTCAGATTTTATATTACGCCCAAAAGGGCATTTTTTTAACGTTTTGTGTGTTACCTTTATTTATTAAATATGTTGTTCTCAATTAAAACACATAAAATGCAATTCAATAGCTATATCACAAAATATTTAAAAACAGTATATCTTTATAGAGTTTACGATTCACCGTCTTGTGCGCTGGAGATAAAAATATTTTTTCGATACAATGTTGCCATTGCTCGCTTTGAAATCTATGAGTTTGTTACTGAAAATTTCGTTGTTACAAAATATTAAATTTATAATAAAACAAATTCCAAATGCCAAATTAGGGCTTCTTGATGCCTATATTCGGTGGATGATTACGTTATTCAAAATTTAATGGCTATAGGTACCGTTGTTTTAACACAATGCTAGAAACATTCATACATTTAAGCAGATGCTTCATTATTTAATTTCTTTAAATATAACACGGGGCGATGATATTTGGTGGCAACAATTTCGTAAGTGAAGAGAACATTTAAAGTTTTCAACGCAAAATGCCAAAACGAAGTTAATAGCCCTTTGGGCTAACAAAACCGATAATAGAGTTATCATCAGTAATGCCAGTAGTACCGAGAAATAGAGCAATGTATACTAAAAGTAATATAAAGAAAGCGGAGAAGATCTAAAAGGCTGATCCGTATTTCCATCTTCTTATTTAAGATTTAAACAATAAGATGATTTTATTCACTAAAATATAAAATAACGCATGTAAAATCTAAACGAATTAGTAAACAAACTAAATGAACAAAACACTTTTCAAGAGAAAATTCTATTTTACTCACCTAAAGACAACACAACAAACTGCTCTTAAACTCGTTTTTTTTTTATTTCATACATTTTCTAAAAATACTATGCACTTTTTAAATTTATTTTTTCTCTCGTATTCATAAGAGACGTGTGCATCATTTTAACAATATGTGAGCGGAAATAAAGTAAATAAATTCTTAAAAAATTTGGAATGAAATGTTCGAGTTCGAGACAGTGCAGACATCTCCACAGTGCGACAAATTCACATATTCACTTACAGATTCTTCATTTTTTAATAACTGAGAATAAGGATTTCATCAATTTTATTAAAAATTAGGTTTCATTAATAGGGGTTATAATTTAAAACTATTAATTCATTTAATAGTTTTCAATAATTGTTTCATATATTTATTTTGGCAGCATATTTTTTTTAAATCAAAATGTTACTGAAATTACTGCTTTATATTTTTTATTCGAAACATATTAACTTAAAGAATTAAAATTTTCAACTTTGATGAAACGTTCGGTCAAATGATCATTTTTCAGTTCGGAACCATCCAAATTAAGGAACTCAAACTTCTGCTTGAGGAAAACTTATCTCCATTTTGCCACAAACAAACGGTTTTTAAAGCTAATAGCACACTGGAACTGAAATCTCACGTGATATATTATTTGTAACCGTAAAGGAGGGATCATTCATTGAAACAATTTGCCATTAATTCTCATTTTGGGATTTTCTCAGTTTTTGAAACTTTGAGGTTCGCAATTTTTGGATCCCCTTGGATTGTTTCTTCATATATTTTGGACAAACGTTTTCGAAAAAAAAAATTCTAATAACTTTTAATATTTTGTATTAATCTTCCATTCACGTTAACGATTTAATGTATTTACTTGCATCAACTTTTTTTCCTCGATCTTTGGTATAAAGGAATCACCGTAATGGAATAGGAATGTTAATACGTTCATTATTCTATTCACAATTTCTTTCCTTTCAAACCCATTACTTCTTTCTAAGTGCATATCAATCATTTTAAATTCTGACATCAGGAAGCGTTCCTGAAGAAATCCAATTGAATAGTAATAGAATATTACAATTTCTTATTCTGTTTTCTCTATTCTTCACTGAAATGCTTTCTTACAAACCGCAAAATACATTTCGCATCTGACGCCAAAGGCAGATACTTCACTATCCGATAACATTAAAAACAGCCGCTTCATTCAAAACATCGCTTTCTGAAAACGGAATATAGAGTTTTCGCATATAAAACTACCATTTATACAGCTGTCTATATGACCGAAAATGGATAATTTTTACTCCTATTGTGAAGTGTCAGAACCACATAAAAAACTTCATTTTTTATTCCATTTTTCCTCTATTGAACTTCACATTTTAGGCAGACGATGTCGTTTACCGTCGCTGTAACCGTGCCGAACAGATTTCTCCGGAATTGATGTGGGCCATGCAGACATCCACTTTTGAATGCATGTGTATCTTTCTATACATTGGCAGAGTATTGTAACAGACACGCGGTCCAGGCCCCCTGGGAATTTTAGGGAAGGAAAATGCGTGAGTTTTTTTTTTTCAACATGCAAAAAAGGCGCGTCCAAACTTAGGAAAGAAGCTAACCAAGCAAACGAGTGCTTTGTGTGCGAAAATAAACTTTAAGAATTTCGGACTTCCACGTCAGGTTTACTTCTTAAAGAGATCTTTCTGTGGTTTTCCGGAGGTTGTCCAGCTGTCGAATAAGTAACAGAAAAGGAATAAAAAGAAACTTTGCACTTTCATCTTTGATGATTTAATAAAAAACAAAATTCTGTTACTAGCAACTTTCTTATGAACTTTATCTGTTAAAAATACTTTACTATGTAGATTTCATTGTGCAACTTTTATTTTTCTTTAAAAATTGTTTATGTAATATAAAGCTATTACTCTCATTAAAGAAAATGTATATACATGTTTAGTATAAAAGAAATAAACATATTCAAAGTTTTATAGAAATGTGCATAAGTGACATATTCATATTTAGTCTTCTTTTAGAACTTTTCATTAGTCCAGCAACGATGTTGCACTACTTTCCCTTTGGGAGAACTTTTCTTCAAAGAAAACGTTAAGCCTTTCACATAAGAGGAAAAGAACACAAGAGCTTACTCTCATTACATACAGAGATTAAAAAATTAATGCAGTGAAATACCAAGATATACATTGAGTTCGACAAGAAGAAACGAAAGCAAACCTCATCTTAATAAATTAATGCTGTGAAATACCAAGATATACATTGAGTTCGACAAGAAAAAAACGAAAGCAAACCTCATCTTAATAAATTTTATTATTTAAACAAGTAGTTAAAACCAGTTAATTTCTTATAAAGAAATAGCACTAAAATTTTAGTTCTTAACAAATCATACAAAGAGTAAGATGATAATATAAAATATAAGTACCTTTACATATTTTTACGATTAACATGTGATTCAGCCAGTTATAACAAACATATACATAACCAACAAAATTCTTGCTTATCCGATTGCAAGTATAGATAATACGGTTATATATATTAATTTTAATAACCTTCAAACTTGAAAATCATTACTCAGTTACAATTTTATATATATTGTTACGAAATGTACAGGCGAGGGGAGATAGCTTCCCCACAAAGCAGTTTTAGGGTTGCCATAAAAATGGCAAGGGAATGCAGGGTTGCCACATTTGTCGAGAAATCGCCCATTTGGCGAGATTTGGCGACAAAATTGGCGATATACCATGGACGGATGGAGAACCTTCTGGAACGAATTCTTACCGGTTTAGCCCAGAATGTTCTCGAACACAAGCCGAAACCTATATAAACTTTGCTGGTCCACAGTCAGTGTGTGTGCCTCGTCTAGCGAGCTGATAGTCAGTCATTGAGCGAGTGTCTCGAAGTCTAGCGCCGAGTTGGTCGAGTGCTTCGAGAGAGTCTTTTAGTGCATCGCGAATTAGTGCATCGTCGAGTTTTGTCTTAGACTTGCTGAGTCGAGAGCTATACTCTGTTTTAATGTGTATCGTCGAGTGCATCGAGTGGAGAGTCTCGAGAGTACGTGGAGTTCCGAGAACGACCAAAAGAGTCGGAAGCTGTACTCTGGTGTCTTGCAGTGAAGCTATCTCCACCGTTATTGTCTGACAGTGTGAAGGCTGTGTCGCTGATTGTTCCAGCGTGTTTATAGTAGATTTTCGGCGACTGTAAAAAGTGTTATTGGAGCTGTCCTGTCCTGATTAATATTGGCTAAATAAAGTGTGTTTCGATACTTCATCAAGTGTCGTCGTTATTCACTCCAAATCTACGAACCCCTAAGAACGTAAAGGAAGAAAATAACGTAACAATTGGTGTCAGGAAGAGAAAAACGTAACAATATGATTATGGTTCGTAATACCCAGATATCTAAACACTTATACAACACAATTCTAGAGTAGAAAGTAGATATATAATTATCTTTCTATTTTTCGATACTCTGAAAATAAGCACAATCTATTTTTAATGTTAAATCGTAATAATTAGGAAACTTATCTTATTGTTTATTTATTTATTTTCTTGATCTTAATAATTATGAAGCAGATCTTACTGAAATTTAAATGAGCACAGGCATACCCAGAAAAATTTAGAACCAGAAGACCCAGAAAAAACCAGAATACCCAGAGTAGAAACCAGAATACCCAGCGTATACCCAATAAAAAAACAATATGAAGGTAAAGGTACATTTATCTTATTAAACTGTAATAAACATAGGTGCCAGACAAAAATTGCTTAGACAGAAATACACTTGGATCGTCAAATCGGGTGACATGTTACAGAACAAAATCTATAGCTGCCTTTTCGTGCTACAGTAAATACAATTTCTTATTTAAATCTACGAGATTCAAATACAAGTAATAAAACCTGAAAGATTTCAGATTTCTTTCAGTTTTTATACTACGCCCGAATGGTCGTTGCTTTCATTTACAGACACCTACATGCAGATCCTTCATTATTTATTTTTTTCAATATAACACAGGGCAATAATATTTGGAGGGAACAATTTTATGAGTTTATTTTTAGGTTATCGCAATCGAATAAGCATTTTAGTTTCAGGCATGTACCATTAAAATTTACATTTCGATAAT